GTGTGTGTGTGTGTGTGTGTGTGTGTGTCTGTGCGTGTGTACGTGCGCGTGTGTGCTTGAGGTAATTGTATCCCTCAAGAAGAGAGAACTATTTTCAGTGTCTGCAAACCTATAATTCATGGATAATTTAATATCCTTATTCCCATGACGTGCTATAAAGGTTGTTGTTGTTAGTTTGTCCAAATCCTTTTCAGGTTTTCAGGTAATTGTTCCACCCACCGTAAATTGGTTCAGCTAATACCTTGGGATGGTCACATTCAATTGTTCACTCCCTTTCAATTCTTGAAGCTACGATCTTTATTCTTAAGAGGAACATTATGCATCAATTTCAAACTATTCACCTCCTTGAATGTTTAAGGCACTTTAGCTTTACATGGGTGTTGGATGAGGCGCTGCAGGTGGCCCAGGAGCCAGGAGATCCCGTGGGAGCACTGCAAAATTGTATCTGGTATAGTGGTGGGGGGGGGGGGGTGGGGGTAAGTGTCCTGCTTGATCCGGTGGCTGGGCGAACAGAAGCTGCTTCTGTAGCCTATCATTTTTTAAATTTTATTCTTCATCTGTCTCTAAACCCCCCAGAACAAGCCCTGGCTCCAGAAGATAGACAAGAAAACCAAGGGCTAGCTATGCTCACATGGTGACAGGGTGGTGCAAGGTGTGTGGGCTCCTAGCCTGTAGACGTGCGGAGTCCTTTTAAAAATTAATGCCCTAAATTTAAGAGACGTTGATGGGGCATATCCTGACACATGCTGATTGAGTAAATGTGCTGGTTCTTCCTGGGGAAGATGGAGTCAGTGGCTGATGGGGAGAAGCCCTCGTGCTCAAAGGGTCTCCTTCAGTCACGTTCATGCCGCCTTGTGTTTGGCAGTTACTCAATAACGTTTCACTGCATTGTTTCTAGAAGGTGTGGTGACACTTCACATGTAATCCCATGCACTCCTGTCATTGAACTGCTGTCACACCTTGCAGCACTGGAGGTTTAAAGGTCTATTTACCAAGGTGATGAAAGGTTGCTCAAACCCTTCTGAATCCAAAATTTCTGAGAGCTTATCCCTAGGCCTGCTCGATGTCACTGCCTCCTGGTTACTCATCTAACATTCTTCTATCAAGCTCTTTTCTGTTGGCTTTGGTTAATTGCTGAATGGCCCCAGCTGCATATGTTGTAGGTATCAGGTTTTGTCTGTGCATGTCGCTCCTGTTTCGTTTAGTTCGGTGTGAGACCTTACTGAACACCTTCCTCCTCGGGTTCTGTGCAGTGGAGCTGGATGAGCTGATGGGATCGTTTGTCTGGCATGCTGGTACTGGTGGGTGTGCAGGCAGTGTCCTGTGTGTTCCGCGTTGGTGGCCAGCTGGCCGTTATTACATCAGCAAACGAGCCAGCTGTGCTTCTCGTGTTACTAGCTACGGTCGTCAACTGGTCAACAGTTTTTTCCAGTCTTTTGCCCTAAGGAAGTATTTTAAATTCATTAGAGCTTGACTGATACAGAATTTTCCAGTACTGATTTCAATATTTGAGAATTTAAAAATCAGTAATGATATATTGACTGGTGTTTTTTTTCTCCCGGACATAAACATAAACTAAGATTTTCCCCTAACATTCATGTGTAATTATTTAGAAGTCCTCACCAACATAACATGACATAGTGCAGTTTAAAAATAATCTTGTTTTATTGTCATATATAGTACTTGGAACAAAAGTCTAACAAAATATATGAAAGTTTTGATAAGTCAAATGTGTATTACAAACAAACTTGTGTTGCTGATGGGTGTTGCGGTGTGCCCTCTGGTGGACAAACTAAACAACAACACTCACAACATGGCTGAAGGATCAGTCTTGCATGTCTCCGTTTCTATATAATTGTCATTTATCGGCCATTATAAACACCATTTTATCGGTCGGGCTCTAAAATTTATGCCCTATTGCCCCATGGACTGCTCTGGATAAAGTAAGTCTCTCTCTCTTCTCCCCCCCCCCCATCACTCTCTGGGGGCTCTCTTAGCTCTCTTAGGGTTTGGAGTTTTCTTACATTTCAATTCACGTGTCTTTGGGTCGCTGAACGTCTTTGTCATTGAGTGAATTTCTAACCTAATGGCCATATGGAAATAGAACCTTCAATTGGTCTATCAACAGGAGATAAATTACTGTTCAAAAGCCCATAACCTTATTACTGTTAATGTTCCTGTTCCTTCTGGGTGAAGTATTTGAATTTCTTCCCATTCTCTCACACTGCTTTCAGGGCCTGTTAAAAATTTGGCACTGGACCCATGTTGATGGTGCAGGGTGGGTGATGGATGGACACTAGGGCTGCTGCGGTTAGTCGACGTAGTCGATGATGTCGACAGTGCAAATGGAGCAGTTCAAATCATCACAAAATAAAAAGGCAGTTTTACACTATGCAGAGTGTGATAGCAT